AGTCTGACATAATAGTAGTACTTGAGTGATGGTATGCAGACACCCAGTAAATATTTACTGCAGGATAGAACGAACCCAGAATACAGACCTTTTTGATAAAACCTTCACTTCCATGCATATTATCCTTTGTTTGTTTGTTTTTATAGCAAAGGTGGAAATTTATTGAGAAACAAGCACAAGACTCCCACATGGGGAGGGGGAAAAGAGTCGCCTATCATTTATTTTAAAAGAATGTTCACATGGTCCCCAATTTACAATGGTCTGAATTAGAATTTTTTTGTCTTTGTGATGATATAAGTAGAAAGCGTACTTCAAATTTTGAATGTATAGCTGGCCTTTTCCCAGACTGGCTATATATGGCGCAGTGCTATCCCATGGTCCTGGGCAGGGACAGTGAGATGATTCTGCTCAACTGTAAGCTAATGGAAGTGTTCTTAGTGTGTTTAATGTAGGCTAAGCTAACCTATGATGCTCAGCAGGTTAGGTGTATTAAAAGCATTTTATATTTACAATATTTTAACTATACAGTGGGTTTATCTGGATGTAACCCCATTGTTAATCTAGGAGCATCTGTATACTCTAGTTGTTAATTTATATTATTGAACTTTGAAATTAAAGTCATATATATGATTTTTGGAACATATTTTATCTACATTCTCATAGTGTGTACTAAAAAGTTGTTTTAAACAGTAAAGGATTTTCTTTTCTCTGTGTAAACATGGGCTGAATGTCTACTATATTCAAGTTTTTAATAATATTCTGTATAATCTATATGGCGTTCTCTTTCTATTAAGAAAAAACGGAAAGTAAAAAGGTATTTCCATGATCATAGGCATTTGGAGATACAAAGTAAATCCCCTCACAGTTCTGCTTAAGCCCTACCATTTCAGGAAGTTGTTTCAGTCTAGGTCTAGCTTTCCTGAAGGCTTGTTTTCTTCCTTCTCAATTTCAGGTAAATTCAAAGAATGCTCTATCTCTCTCTATCCTCTCCCTCCTTCCCGACCCCTCCACCCCCCACAGTCATACACATACAAATTATTTTATCCTGAAGGTTACATGCTAACGTTAGGTTACATAATTTCCTAGTAAGCACATTTCTTTTCGTTGTTATAAAATCATTTTCACAGAATCTATCTGCTGTAAAGCATCAGGGTTAAGTTGTTAAGGATCAAAATGCAGGAATCTTTAGTTTTTCTAATTTGGTTTTTGTTGAATTCTTAGTGGGAGAAATATATTGTACATAATTAGAAGACTCCTTTGCAGTGACTATGTCCTATAGTCAATGAAATATTTCCATCAAATATACCAAGGTCATCTGTGCTTACCAGCTGCCTATCCTGAAAAATATTCAACTTAAGGTTTGTCACATTTTTCTTACATCTTTTGCTGCATTGACTACAACATGCTTTTTCTTCCATTCATTTCTTGATCTTATTCATTCCAAAAAAGGAACAAGATCAGTCAGATGTAGTACAAGATGAAAACAAACCTTTTTCTTTGAGCATCAAGTATGTCAGTTTCCTGTGGATTCACTTGACGTCCCAGCACTCTTTCTATAGAAGAGTCGGTAATGTTCACATTAAGTAAAGTATAACTTAAACGTGGAAAGGTTGGGGCCTGATTACACACTACTCTCATGTTTCTTTCAGTTCCAGTAAAATCAAGATTTAAATGGCTCACATGACCTTTTGAGATTTGCAATTTGAAAATCTCAACCCATGTCTTAGACATTAAGCAAGATATTTGAATATTGCAGTTTAAAGTATTGATTTCATAATATCATACAGTAGTTTACAGGGGAAATTAAAATATATGTGGAAAATGATTAAGCAATATTTATCAAATAAAATTAAGTACTTTATTACAGTCGCTTGAAATGGATGTTTTTAGGGGATGGGAGGGAAGTGAAATTGGCTGGTGAATCAGATTCCAAAAAATTGATGATGAATGCTTTCTCCCAACTTCCCCCATCCCAGGACACTATTATTAACTATTATTAACATGTCACAGCATAGAGAGGTCATTTTATTTTCCAAATTTTAAATGCCTATATATAGCC